TTTGGTCTCGCACACAAACGCTTAGCCTCAAGACCACTGAGACCTTACCTATTGTGTTTGGTTGATAACTGCCTACAGGGTTGAACTCCACTGGTCATGATTTCGCATTAGAACTCCGAGAATTTCCTCACGATGCTAGTCAGCACTAGTGAGCACATTTTTTGATTGATTCATTTTTTCAATGAATATTATAGTTATTTAATCGACAATTATTGTTTCTTTTTTAACGTAAAAATGTATTCTTGATAATTTTCTCAACCTGAAACTTCTTTCTGTCATTGCTTTCATTTTTAACAGTCTTGATTCGTACGATGATCGTGTTGCTCCTCATCATTCACATTCTCATCATCATCACCACCATCATCATCATCATAATCGACCTGCTTTCACTGAATCACATAAACTTAACATGTCTGACAATGAACCTGAACACTCAGATCAATTTGTTGATGAGTATGCTTCAGACTCACCTATTCTAAGTCCTATTCGTCGACGTTTCGACGACAGCCTATTTCATAATGCATCAGTATCACCAGCTGAATCTGATTTAAAACATCGTGAACGTCGTAGAAAACATCTTGGTTTGCCTACATTAAAATTAGATCATGTTGGAATTTTATCACACACAATATTTATTGGTCATTTACATAAACAATTAGCTGAAAGTAAATTAACCACACTATGTTCCGACGTAACTGAAGGTCAAGTAGTTGAATGCAATTTTATACCACCACGTGGTTGTGCATTTGTTACATTTGCCACTAGACGTGCTGCACATCGTGCTGTCATTCAAATGGATCAATCTACAATGAGTGGTAGAGAAATTAAAGTAGCATGGGCACCAAATCTTGGTATTAAATCCCGTGAAGATTATCTTCACAATTATTGGGATATTGATGAAGGTTGTACTTATATACCAATAGAAGAAGTTTTAAAATTAACACGTTCACAATTTGATGATCTTTTAGCTGGCTATGGTGAAATTGATGAAGAATCTCTTACTGATCCTCGACTTAGAGGTTTAATTATGAATAGTCATAATGATACTAATGATATTATTGATGATAACAATAATACTAATACTCCTACTACTACTAAAACACAATCGATCAATTCTCCTAATGTAAAATTTGTTAAAAAACCACAAACCACACCGACTTCACAAAAATCTACACCGAACACTTCATCAAATTTATCCATATCCACTTATTCTTCTGTTCTTGTACCACCGCCGTCTATTCCAATTGGATTAACTCGTTCTATGCCATCAATGCAGTCTATAATTCCTAGATCAGTTCCATTAATGTTACCTTTAGTATCGGGTATGATCTTTTTTGTTTTAGTTTTTTGCTAACCTAAATTGTTAATTTTTTTTTATTCATTGAAATCATGAATTGACCAATGTTAGACTACCATTAGAAACCTGGCAGCACTAGACGGGCGTTTTGTCCCGGTATGAGGCTCATCAGCATTGCGCATTCAAAACTCCTGCTACTCACAGGATTCAAGCCCCGGAAATTCGGTCGTGCGCTCGAACACTGAGACCTTACCCATTACTTCCGATAGGTAACAACTACCTACACTCGACAGGGATGACTACCACTGGTCACATGTTCTCACTAGAAGTCCTAGAATTTCCTCACTAGTGAGCACATTTTTGATTTTGCATTGTAGCATTATTGAGATCGTTGTTTTTACACATTACAAATCGATATCATGAGGATAATGTATGGCGGGAAAAAAAGTTTTGTTTTAGCAAAGATACTGACAAATGGTTGAGTATTCTAGTCGATTTGAAGGATAATGTAAGCATATTTAGAGTGGATTTTGTCTTTTAAATGTAGGGTATTGTTTCATGACTGGTGTAGATTAACACTGTATTGACCATTTCATTTATCTAGGAAATCTTACCAGCCCATAGTGTGGTTAGCGTCTGCTGAAATCTCGTGATAAGATAGACGGGGGAGACAATTTGTAGCTCAAGTGGATGACTGTGATGGAGTGACGTTTTTTAAGCTGCATGTTTTGGTTGTCGAGCTTCAATTGTTCTTCTTCTGAACAACATCAGCAAAAACTTCAGATAGAAGTGAAATATTCTAATTTCTCCACATATGACTCCTAGCTTGTCCTGTTTAATCTTAATCTTGATTGGTTGTTACTGACCTGGAACCTGTCGTTGTCTGCACCTTTATTTTGGATTGTATTCCCCTTTGATCTGATTCTTGATCCTATGTTTGTCTATGATTTTTTTCTGATTGGTTGATAGATGGGATTACTGTCGATGTGTTTGTTGATTGCTTATTGAGTGTGCCAAGCTTCTGAAAAATTCTCTAGTTGTTCTTTGTACTCTGTGTATCTAGTATTTCAACATTGTTCTAACTGAATGTGTGGCCATAGTTTGACTGATATAAGAGAAGAAATGTCATGGCGTTCGACTGCTAATTGATGTTCACGCAGGCGAACCTGAGGATTACGTTCATTTTGTTCCTATGTAGTGTTTTTCATCATCGCAATCTCGGAATGGTTTGGTCCAGATAGTTTGGGTGACTTTCATTAACAAATTATTGATTTAGGCGAACTTCCGCTGAAATCTGGATTCTTCTCTCCCACAGTAGATTATTGCTGATAGTGTTTGGCCAACGGATCCGAAGTATTTCGCGTAGACAACTGTTGGTAAATATTTGTATCTTCTGGATGATGACTTTCGTGGTTCTCCAAGTTTCCGCTCCATACAGTAGAACTGTCTTGACATTTGTATTGAGAATTCTGACTTCAGTGTTGTTTGATTTTTATTTTGAGTTCCAAATGTCATTCAATTTTAGAAATGCTGCTCTTGCTTTGCCGATCCGCGCTTTCACATCTACATTAGATCCACTGTGCTTATTAGTGAGGCTGCCCAGATATGTAAATGTTTTAACATCTTCCATAGCTTCTCCGTCTTTGGAGTTACCAGCTCTCACATCTAAAGCATAACTTAAATTTCATATTATATTGTCTTTCATGTTAGAGTGATAAAGGAATTAAAAATGTGACATCTACTTTTATAAAAATAAATAAATAAATCAAGCTTCATTTCAAAGCTATTTGTTAGAATTACATTGAAATTTCACTTAGATGACTTGTTATTTGTTACTTTTATTTTGCAAAGCATCAGTTCCACGTATGTCAGTCCCAACACAACCGTTATATTTCCAACAGAACAATGCAACTTCTACTTCTCGAGCACCTCCACCTCCACCGCCGCCCCCACCACCTCCCCCACCGCCACCACCTCCGCCACCTCCTCCCCCTCCTCCACCACCACCAGCATCTACACAATCGTCAAACACTCCTCCACCTTCTGTCACTATTATATCATCCCAAGCTCATTCAATAGCCAACTCAACTGGATATCAATGGAATCCTGCGATTAATGCAAATCACAATCAACCTCCTGTAAATCAGCAATTAATGCAACAAAATCCAAGGCCGGAATTTTCAACTCCAAATGTTGCCGGGTTTAGACCATACAATAGGCCACCATTATTGCCCAAACGCACTTCTTCCGCGTAAGTACACATTGTTATTATTATTATTATTATTATTATTATTATTATTACTGTGGAAGGATCTTGAATATCTTGGCTTTATTCAGAGTTATCTTAGTTAGAAAACCATTAAAAACTAGGTGCTAAATAGCTGTTTTGTCCTACTTGGGAACTTCTCAGGAATGGGCAGTCTCATCGTTGATGATCAAACAGATAAATTTCAGGTCCCCAAGCCTTTCATCTATAGGTTTAATTCACATCGGCAGTGAAGTAACGTCAATAGATGTAGTCCCATACAATGGGTTCATACGTCATTCGTTCCATCATGATTCTCGAGAGCATGTACACCTTTGATTTAGGAATCAGGGTTTTCTAATCTTGCGTGATCAGTCTTTCTGTCATTTTCACCTGAGCTTGGTTTAAGCGCTATTTGGACATTCACTTTTCGTCCTTTAAATTTTGTAAATTACACAACCCGGCTGCTACGAGAAGGCACAGTGACAGTAAAGTATATTCGCGCCGCGCATGGGCATGTGGGAGCATTCGTAGAGGGAGAGCAAACTCTCCTCACTATGTAGTACAAGGTAATTTGGATGCAATATTACTCATTTTATGGTCACTTCAAAAGTATGTATTACTAATTACTATTGATCTACAAATGTATTCTCTTTATAAATGTCACATTTCAGTATATTCTGCTATTCTATGCGTTAGTCTATAATATTTAAACGTTTAACTACTTAATTTAAAGTGGTATTTTTAAACCACGAAATTAAGTAGTTAAACGTTTAAATATTATAGACTAACGCATAGAATAGCAGAATATACTGAAATGTGACATTTATAAAGAGAATACATTTGTAGATCAATAGTAATTAGTAATACATACTTTTGAAGTGACCATAAAATGAGTAATATTGCATCCAAATTACCTTGTACTACATAGTGAGGAGAGTTTGCTCTCCCTCTACGAATGCTCCCACATGCCCATGCGCGTATACTTACTGTCACTGCCTTCTCGTAGCAGCGGTGTAATTTACAAAATTTAAAGGACGAAAAGTGAATGTCCAATAGCGCTTAAACCAAGCTAGTGAAGACAGAAGACTGATCAAGCAAGATTAGAAAACCCTGATTCCTAATCAAAGGTGTACATGCTCTCGAGAATCATGATGGAACGAATGACGTATGAACCCATTGTTGGTAACCAGCCCATCATGGCACAACATCTATTGACGTTACTTCACTGCCGATGTGAATTAAACCTATAGATGAAAGGCTTGGGGACCTGAAATTTATCTGTTTGATCATCAACGATGAGATTGCCCATTCCTGAGAAGTTCCCAAATAGGACAAAACTGCTATTTAGCACCTCCTAGTTTTTAATGGTTTTCTAACTAAGATAACTCTGAATAAAGCCAAGATATTCAAGATCCTTCCACAGTAATAATAATAATGATAACAATGTGTACTTACGCGGAAGAAGTGCGTTTGGCAATAATGGTGGCCTATTGTATGGTCTAAACCCGGCAACATTTGGAGTTGAAAATTCCGGCCTTAGATTTTGTTGCATTAACTGCTGATTTACAGAAGGTTGATTGTGATTTGCATTAATCGCAGGATTCCATTGATATCCAGTTGAGTTGGCTATTGAATGAGCTTGGGATGATATAATAGTGACAGAAGGTGGAGGAGTGTTTGACGATTGTGTAGATGCTGGTGGTGGTGGAGGAGGGGGAGGAGGTGGCGGAGGTGGTGGCGGTGGGGGAGGTGGTGGGGGCGGCGGTGGAGGTGGAGGTGCTCGAGAAGTAGAAGAAGCATTGTTCTGTTGGAAATATAACGGTTGTGTTGGGACTGACATACGTGGAACTGATGCTTTGCAAAATAAAAATGATAAATAACAAGTCATCTAAATGAAATTTCAATGTAATTCTAACAAATAGCTTTGAAATGAAGCTTGATTTATTTATTTATTTTTATAAAAGTAGATGTCGCATTTTTAATTCCTTTATCACTCTAACATGAAAGACAATATAATATGAAATTTAAGTTATGCTTTAGATGTGAGAGCTGGTAACTCCAAAGACGGAGAAGCTATGGAAGATGTTAAAACATTTACATATCTGGGCAGCCTCACTAATAAGCACAGTGGATCTGATGTAGATGTGAAAGCGCGGATCGGCAAAGCAAGAGCAGCATTTCTAAAATTGAAGGACATTTGGAACTCAAAATAAAAATCAAACAACACTAAAGTCAGAATTCTCAATACAAATGTCAAGACAGTTATACTGTATGGAGCGGAAACTTGGAGAACCACGAAAGTCATCATCCAGAAGATACAAATATTTACCAACAGTTGTCTACGCGAAATACTTCGGATCCGTTGGCCAAACACTATCAGCAATAATCTACTGTGGGAGAGAAGAATCCAGATTTCAGCGGAAGTTCGCCTAAATCAATAATTTGTTAATGAAAGTCACCCAAACTATCTGGACCAAACCATTCCGAGATTGCGATGATGAAAAACACTACATAGGAACAAAATGAACGTAATCCTCAGGTTCGCCTGCGTGAACATCAATTAGCAGTCGAACGCCATGACATTTCTTCCCTTATATCAATCAACTATGGCCACACATTCAGTTAGAACAATGTTGAAATACTAGATACACAGAGTACAAAGAACAACTAGAGAATTTTTCAGAAGCTTGGCACACTCAATAAGCAATCAACAAACACATCGACAGTAATCCCATCTATCAACCAATCAGAAAAAATCATAGACAAACATAGGATCAAGAATCAGATCAAAGGGGAATACAATCCAAAATAAAGGTGCAGACAACGACAGGTTCCAGGTCAGTAACAACCAATCAAGATTAAGATCAAACAGGACAAGCTAGGAGTCATATGTGGAGAAATTAGAATATTTCACTTCTATCTGAAGTTTTTGCTGATGTTGTTCAGAAGAAGGACAATGGAAGCTCCACAACCAAAACATGCAGCTTAAAAAACGTCACTCCATCACAGTCATCCACTTGAGCTACAAATTGTCTCCCCCGTCTAACTTATCACGAGATTTCATCAGACGCTAACCGCACTATGGGCTGGTAAGATTTCCAAGATAAATGAAATGGTCAATACAGTGTTAATCTACACCAGTCATGAAACAATACCCTACATTTAAAAGACAAAATCCACTCTAAATATGCTTACATTATCCTTCAAATCGACTAGAATACTCAACCATTTGTCAGTATCTTCGCTAAAACAAAACTTTTTTTCCCGCCATACATTATCCTCATGATATCGATTTGTAATGTGTAAAAACAACGATCTCAATAATGCTACAATGCAAAATCAAAAACTGTGCTCACTAGTGAGGAAATTCTAGGACTTCTAGTGAGAACATGTGACCAATGGTAGTCAGCCTTGTCGAGTGTAGGTAGTTGTTACCTATCGGAAGTAATGGATAAGGTCTCAGTGTTCGAGCGCACGACCGAATGTCCGGGGCTTGAATCCTGTGAGTAGCAGGAGTTTTGAATGCGCAATGCCGATGAGCCTCATACCGGGACAAAACGGCCGTCTAGTGCTTCCAGGTTTCTAATGGTAGTCTAACATTGATCAATTCATGATTTCAATGAATAAAAAAAAATTAACAATTTAGGTTAGCAAAAAACTTAGACAAAAACAGATCATACCCGATACTAAAGGTAACATTAATGGAACTGATCTAGGAATTATAGATTGCATTGATGGCATAGAACGAGTTAATCCAATTGGAATAGACGGCGGTGGTACAAGAACAGAAGAATAAGTGGATATGGATAAATTTGATGAAGTGTTCGGTGTAGATTTTTGTGAAGTCGGTGTGGTTTGTGGTTTTTTCACAAATTTTACATTAGGAGAATTGATCGATTGTGTTTTAGTAGTAGTAGGAGTATTAGTATTATTGTTATCATCAATAATATCATTAGTATCATTATGACTATTCATAATTAAACCTCTAAGTCGAGGATCAGTAAGAGATTCTTCATCAATTTCACCATAACCAGCTAAAAGATCATCAAATTGTGAACGTGTTAATTTTAAAACTTCTTCTATTGGTATATAAGTACAACCTTCATCAATATCCCAATAATTGTGAAGATAATCTTCACGGGATTTAATACCAAGATTTGGTGCCCAAGCTACTTTAATTTCTCTACCACTCATTGTAGATTGATCCATTTGAATGACAGCACGATGTGCAGCACGTCTAGTGGCAAATGTAACAAATGCACAACCACGTGGTGGTATAAAATTGCATTCAACTACTTGACCTTCAGTTACGTCGGAACATAGTGTGGTTAATTTACTTTCAGCTAATTGTTTATGTAAATGACCAATAAATACTGTGTGTGATAAAATTCCAACATGATCTAATTTTAATGTAGGCAAACCAAGATGTTTTCTACGACGTTCACGATGTTTTAAATCAGATTCAGCTGGTGATACTGATGCATTATGAAATAGGCTGTCGTCGAAACGTCGACGAATAGGACTTAGAATAGGTGAGTCTGAAGCATACTCATCAACAAATTGATCTGAGTGTTCAGGTTCATTGTCGGACATGTTAAGTTTATGTGATTCAGTGAAAGCAGGTCGATTATGATGATGATGATGGTGGTGATGATGATGAGAATGTGAATGATGAGGAGCAACACGATCATCGTACGAATCAAGACTGTTAAAAATGAAAGCAATGACAGAAAGAAGTTTCAGGTTGAGAAAATTATCAAGAATACATTTTTACGTTAAAAAAGAAACAATAACTGTCGATTAAATAACTATAATACTCATTGAAAAAATGAATCAATCAAAAAATGTGCACACTAGTGCTGACAAGCTTCGTGAGGAAATTCTCGGAGTTCTAATGCGAAACCATGACCAGTGGAGTTCAACCCTGTAGGCACAAACACAATAGGTAAGGTCTCCGTGGTCTTGAGGCTAAGCGTTTGTGTGCGAGACCAAATGTCCTGAGTTCAACTCCTGAGTGGGGGTCGCAGGTGTGCACTACTGATCAGTGACAAACTAGGACAAGACTGCCGTTCAGCGATTCCAGGTTTCTAATGGTGGTCTAACAGTGATCGATTCATTACTTCAGCGAAACCCAACAATCTCCATAACTCGATAATGAAAAATCATATTAATAACAGAATTTTAGTTGTCACCAATATGGGGCCACCTAAAACAAAGCTGTATCGATTCAAGTGGTCACAACATGCCAAATTATTAATAACGACAGAGAGAGAAAATAAATTAGATGAGAAACAGGAAAAGAGCAGATGATTTAAACTCCGATTGGAAGTATTGAATTCATCTTGAGATTTTGTTGGCTACCACAAGTCAGTTCATCAGGTCTGATGTGTTGGAGATGCTGGACCACCAGAAATAATTTCGGTAAACTTTTTTATTTCGCAATTTATTTATGGGAATCTGAATTTCTTATTTTTGCGCCAAAAGAGCCCAGTATACCATTCAGTCAGTTTCTCACCTGAAAGGAGCTTAAACATGATTATTTTATGTTCTGTTTCAGTAAGTTCTTTTAGAACTCTTTCAAGGACACTCTTTGCAGAAACGATGTTTTCATTAAACAACCTGTATGTAGAAAATCGACATGAATAGGGTGATATTTTAGTTTTCATTGTCACGGTCCAATCCAGTGCGAACGTTGATTTATGAAGGGCTTGTTCAATAGGATCGATCGTATTTTGCACCACCGATACTATTGAGGGAGATGTTAAACTCTTAACTGAAATACTGAATACCGGTTATCCGCTGAAGTATATAAACCGTTGGAAAGGCAGCAATATGATGAGACCTACTACATATTTTGTACCCCCCCCCAAAAAAAAGAGCCGTCCATTCAGAGGTAACTCAGACAGTCCTATGCTCAAACGGAAATTTAAATTCTCTTTCAATAAGGCATTCAACACAGCCCAACTCATCATTATCGAAAAGTCAAACTGTATGTTTCACTAAAAACCCAAACAGCATGTAAACAATTGTCAAATCTAACCACATCTATCAATTAACATTGTACGCGCAAAAACAAATACATAGGGAAGAGTAATCCTGATCTACAAGTAAAGGCGACCTAAATGGCTAATGAAAACAAATCAACTGCAATAGTCAAACAAAATCACAGAATATGAGCAAATATCTTCATCTAATGCAAAAAATTTGGTTGATACCAAGTTAGCCTTTGAAGTGTTATTATATAAAAATATTCCAGGGTATGATCGAAACGTGCAAGTTCATACATACAATTCTGATAACTTTTGTCTTCTCATTGTGCTATATATATGATCCAAATTTATCAAAGAAATAAATTGTTTTACATAGAATGAATTACATCAGAAATAAAATTAAGCGAAAAGTTAAAAGTAAAAATAAGAACTTACCGACTATATTTATTACGAACTCGTTGACCTGATGAAATATTCCAATCTTCCGAATTTTCATATTCTGATGCAATCAATCGATTGGTAGTAGGTTCTCGGAATTGATTAACTTGATCATTGTTGCTCATATGATGATTGATATTATGCTGTCGATCGGAATATGACGAAGAATTATCTGACGGTAAAAATCCATCTGGATGACTTGTTTCTTCTCTATTAAAACTATGTATTGGTTGTGAGTCATAAATATGATGTTTACGAGAACCTTGATAAGCAGCAATCGAATCACGAAATGCCACATCCAAAGGCTGATAAAATTACAACAGAGAATAAACACAGATAACACAGATACTTATGATCACACATGATAATATTGATAAAATTTAACTGGAATCAGTCGAAAAAAACAAAACATCATTTTGTACGCGTAGAGTATGGTGTAAGTAACAGCACAATTTAAAAAACTTTTAACAACTTCAAAATCAATTAATAATATTTATCATATCATAATTTTTCAACAGCAACAAATACCAACTACACTAAAAGAATTTAATTCGAACTTTCAAAAACAGATAGTTTTTACTAGAATCAAATCAATTGCTTTTAAAACATAAATTTTTAGGATAAATGATTTCCTTGATAAGCGAATCAACGAATATTATTCATCAGTCTATATTATAACTCCATTTGGAGCCCTTCTGGGGTTACTGCCGGTCCCAAACCCGGAATAAAGGAGGAGAGGTGGGCATGAGATTGGAGACCCTAATCCCGTTGAAAACCAACTCGCTAACAAAAAAATGCTAGTCGACAGCCTATGCTCCATTAGGGGGGGGGGTAATAGGCTTAAGTAAATAAGTCTATATCATACATAGAAAATTACAATTTTCAATAATAAACTAACTTACTTTGGAGTCTAAATGTTTTGAACTAGTTCTATTTACAGGTTTATTCTTTTTTGATAAATGTAGTAGTTTTTTATCGTAAGATTGTGGTAGAATACCAGAATCATCTTCAGGATCCGACGACGGACAAGGAGGTGTTGTAGGTCGAATTAATCTGTTCGAATCATTTCGGATAGATAGGTCTGTTTTTGGTTTACTTGAACTAAGTAAACCTGCCCGGTTATCTGAAGGCTGTACAAGTAATCGGCAACAACAAAAAACAAGACAGAAGTAAATAAAGTCAAATAGATCGACAGGCAAACCTTTTATTAGCTTGTACAAACAGTGACCTAATGGTTAAAAAAGCAGTCAAGTTTTGTTCCATAATAAGTGGTAGATTCGAACCACACACCATTGAATTTAGTTTAGGCAGCTAGCTATGTATTGCATAATTATTGCTGACACAAATATAATGGAACTCAAAGCTGATTGCATAAATCTGAACTTGAGTAAGTGAGTTCCATTGTAATTTTGATCTGTTTTATGTTTCTGACACACATTTTGAGGAAATCGATACTAGTGTGACACATGTACTGTAATCAAGTGTCCATTGGAAACAGAGGTCTTGCTATCGATCGTCTTTTATTAACCAACACTATCATGAAACTACTGAATTCTTCATGTTAAAGTAAATCTATAAAATAGATTTAATTTTCTTTCAAAAAGGCAATCAAATTATTGAAAAAGACAAGAATTCCTACTTAAGAGAGTATTGCAGATATAATACAACAACCGTTGTTAACAACTTTTGTTTCATGTACGTATGGACTAGTCAGTCATTCAGCTACAACATACAACTTGGTACGTACATAATCAGGTCAAATCCAAAAGTGATGGATACAGTAGAAGTATTAATGGTAATGGAGAAGATTAGGGATGGAAGATGTTATTCAATAGAATAATTCAGTTAAATAAATTGAAAAAGAGAAAGGTGATAAGGAATTCAGAAGACTAGACTAGAATCTGAGAGAACACAAAGAGTGGATGCATCTGCTCGCCAACTCAGACCAGGTAGTCCACACCTACCAACATGACTCAATCCCGTTGTCAGTGACTTCAAGGATATCTGCCATGTTTTGGTTTAGTCGCCCCTAGCTTTCTTCCAACCTATTCCTTCACCGCAAAATATAGCTCGACGATGCAGTCGGTGGTCGGGCATACGTAACACATGTCCCAATCACCTTAAATGATGAACTTTCAATACTTTATCTATTGATTTGCCATCCTTACCTAGCACGCGTTTCCTAACGATAGCATTGCTTACTCGGTTGTCCCAGGATACACAAGCAATGCTTCGGAGAAAACTATGATCAAGGACCAGTAACCTACGAATATCTTCTACTCTCACTGGCCATGTTTCACAGCCATAAAGTAGGACGGAGCGAACTACTGCGCAGTACACTCCTCCTTTCGTTAGCAGACGTCTCGCCTACGCCATAAGTGATGCAGCTTGGTAAAATCCAATTGAGTCTTCTGTATCCGTTCGTCAGTCACCAGGACATCAGCACTGATGAGACTACCGAGATAAGTGAAGCGGTCGACACGCTCAACTGCTTCACTTCCTATCACTAGTTCAGGTGCCGATACAAGCCAATAATGAAGCAAAGTTTTGCATTTCGACGAGGAGAATTGCATTCCGAACATGCTTGGATTGTAGCTTAGAGTGGTCAGAGAACTCTGAATTTTATCAGCGTCATCAGTATATTCGAAGTCAACAAGCGTGTCTCCTGGTAGAAGGTCCGTCCCTGAAAAGTCAGACGACGATAATGTTAACTCTAAAAGCATGTCTATGATAAAGTTAAACAACAATCGAGAGAGTGGACATCCGTGACGGACAACACTTGAAGTAACTAATTCCGATGACAGTTCGCCATTAGCTCTAAATCGACCAGTGGTGTTCGAGTAGAGAGCCTGTATAAGGTTAATGTACTTCTTTGGTACACCTTTCAATGACAGACACTGCCACAGAGCCTCACGATCAACAGAGCCGAATGCCGCTTTAAGGTCGAGAAATTCTACTATTGCGGGGCGTCTGAACGTATGTCTTTGCTCTAGGACCTGTAATAGTGTGAAACTGTGGTCTAGACAGCCATATCCAGGTCGAAAACCAGCCTGGTTTTCTCTAGTGCGCTCTTCAAGAGCTACCCACCACCGTTCGCGGTTGTTGCGTAGGCTTTCTATCAGCCTGCGCTTAAGCTGACTTTGCTCTTCATCGTGTTGAGAGCCAGGTGGGATGAGTTTTCGAGCATCCATCAGTTCGGTAGATGCTACTGAGATCCACCGCTTCTTCCTAGCCTCATAGTTTACTTTACTAACAGATATCACTGCTGTTTCCACAGCCTTCTTGATATCATTCCAACCTGCTTCAGGGTGGGCATCACTTACTGCAAGGCTGCCTAAAAGTTCCTGAAATATATTCTTTGCTTTGTCATAATTAGATTCCGGAGGGGTTTCCTTGAGATGTCTTCCCTACGTCCAGTAAGCCTCAAACAAATACGCGCTCACACTAGACCATGGTCTGAATCTAAACAAGTGCTCCAGAATGAGCGGCAGTCAGTCAGTTAGTTACAACGTAAACTTCGTACATACGTACATAATTTCCGGATGCGGCAGTCTTCAATAAAGTCTCTTCAACGATGGCTTAAAGCGATGTAATCTAGTTGGGTCGGCTTTTGGGGTTGCCAGGTCAAAAGATGTTTTTCCTCATGCCTAACGTTAGTGTTTGCTAGAAATAGGCGGTTATCTGAGCACAGTTACAACAGGCGGCCGCCATTGTGTTCTCTGAGCCGCGACACCACAACATCCCGCCAGATGTCTTTTCTTTCCATTTAGTCTACCTACTTGAGCATTGACGTAGGCAGCCACTATTACTATAGCAGAGCGCTTAACTTTTTTAAGGTCCGAAAGCTTTCTGTGAAACTCAACCTTTATCTCGTCTGAACTGCAGCCAGTAGAAGCGTAGGCGTATACGACGAAGAGGCAACGGCGAGTTTCCCTATCTTTACGAGTCCGTACCGTCCCGTTCAGTCGGAAAGCGCACAGGTGACTATCTACTGGGATCCAGTCTAAGAGAGCTAGTTCTTCCCCAAGACTAATTACTATAACTACGCCAGCGAGGCCACGGGAAGCAGCAGCAGGGCTACCAGATACACGAAGAGTAAATCGGGCTGCTTCTTTATTTTGACAGGGTGAAATCAAATTGATTTTACTAGGATCCTGTATGCGCGTTTCCGATACTCAGCAAACATCGATTGAGCGAGATTCTAATTTCATAGCTAAGGAAGCCTGATGCCCTATTTGACACAATGTCCGAGCATTAAAGCTCCAACATGTAGTCTAGAACGGGGCTTCAAGAGACCAGGAATAACTTTTCATGAACTCCCATCGTTTGCATTAGCGGTGCAAGGTGATAAAGGAATGTCAGAAGGGTGGGTGGTGGAGATAAGAGAGACGTTAGGCAGTGTCAGAAGGATTTGATTGTAACCAATTCGGTCTCATGCGCTGTTACGGGTTGTGATATGTATTAAATATGCCTATCTAGGACCTACTTTGACACGTTATATTTGTTAGTAAACATAGTACATAGTGCACAAGGCCACTGACTATTGAAATGATAATATATATATATATATATATATATATATATATATATATATATGGACAAGTACTTGAACATATTATTTGGTAGTCAAAAAGAACTCCTCTGTTCTGTTCCAATTACTGCCCATACTTCTACTACCTCTACCTTTATGAGATTTGTATTGACAATCGCATCTGTGCTAATGTAGTATGGCAACCTGAAATGATTTAAGTACGTAAAAAGTTTTACGTTGTTGCTGACTAACTGACTGACTCTCTTCTGTTCTTGCCTTCTCGCCAAAGTCGCCAGTTTTGGGAAGGAGGTTAGCAAGCAACGCAATCAAATCTCGGGCATTGTATATCGTTACAAAAAGCATCATTTATTATACAATTGCTTTTAAGTAATCAATTGGATGATTTGTTTCAACTAGTTTTACTGTAATTAACGAAGACGTTAAGATCCAATGGAATAGTAGTGTGGTTAAAGAAAACAGTTCGCTAACAAAATGTGTACACCTAATCCTCAGACTTGCATTTTCAAAACAAGCAGATTATTGGTCCTCTTCTTTTACATGTCTTCCGGTCTTTAAACCACTTTAATCGCGCTATGCATTTCGGTCTCCCAACTCCTCTCCGATGGTAACTTCTGGGCAACTATCCGCTGCATACTACTCAGAACCCAAGTTACGAGTAATATCCACCACAGCTTAAATAACTTAAAATTATGATTTCTAATTTAATTCCACCACCTTCCGACCCCTTATTAATTCACCCGTAAACTCTATAATAGAGGTATTTCCTATGAAATCTCACTAAAAAACAAAATACTAAAATATATTATCCAATTGAACGACAAACAAAATAAAACAACAACAGGAACGAAGACTAACCCGAATTAGATGTGTATCATTTTCCAGTTGATCAGCTGATACACCGTTGATCGACTGAACAACAGCATTTGATTGATGTTGTTGCTGATATCTTCTATGTTGCTGATGCTGTTGTTGTTGGCGTTCAGCTCGTGCTTGATTTAATTGTTCTTGTAATAAACGTGTATGAGCCAATGTATCAACCATTGATTGTATTCGTGCCAACAAATTTGGATCAATCACACTAAATAGGTGAAGTAGGAAACCAACAACAACAAAAAGTGAATTATTATGATTGCAATTGTAAAATAAAAATATTAAACATGTAACAAAGGAGTTTTATCAATATTTTAAATAGAGAATCAGTAAAATGGACATCTTTTTGAAATATATAACTGAAACGACGGGACATGGTACTAGTGACATCAATAGGTTTAGGCAATCCCGAACATACTTTCTTAATCAACAATGCATGTTCAGGATGCGATCTTCGCCCTCGAAATGCAAAACGTTGCTTTAGGATTGGCTTGCGTTAGCACTTGACTTAGTGATAGAGAGTGTAGTTGGGCGTGCTGGAAGTTTCATCAGTCCTGATGGCCTGGTGACTGACGAAATCGCAGTACGGATACAGAAGGCTCGATTGGCTTCTGACAACATGCATCACTTATGGAGTGCACGAGATATCCGTCTGTTAACCAAAGAATGAGTTTACTACGCAGCAGTTCGATCTGTCCTACGATACAGATGTGAAACATGGCCACTAAGAATAAAGAATATTCGCAGGTTACTAGTATTCAATTAAAGGTGTGTTCGAAGCATCGCTTGTATATCCAGGGAACACCGAGTGAGCAATCCTGGGGTTAGGATAGTTGTACTGGGTAAGGACGACAGACTAATTGAAGTAAAGAATATTCATTAGTAGAGTTGGTTAGGACATGTGTTACGCATGTCTAACTACCGGCTACCTCAACGAGAGGTGATATTCAGTGTAGAGGTAGGCACGAAAAAAGTTAGGGGTGGCCAGACAGAAATATGACACAAATCCTTCAAGTCATTGACAAGTGGACTGAGTCATGTTAGTAGATGTAGATTACCTGATTGTGGTCCGCGGAACCAATGGTTGAAGATTGAATGACACAGCTTAAATTCTTTTGCATTGGCTCAAGTGCATACATTTTTTTGTTTTCTTTCAAATTCTAATCTGAATTCCTCATGACCTTTATCTTTATTTTTTAAAATTTATTTCACTGGATTTTACTTCCTGAATATCTTCAAACCCTAATGTTATCTACTACCATTGATACTGCTAATACCTCTATCGTCTGGGATTTGGATCGATAATTCGATCTGTGTGTGATGATATGGTATGGCAACTTGAACTGATGTACATAAGTACGAAGTTCTACGGTACAGTTGATTAATGGACTGACTGATACAATTATAGATGTGAATTCGACTGGGGAAACGCCGAAATTTTGAATCAGAGAAACTTCGAGATTCCCAGAGGATTACTAGAAACATGTTATTAGGATCAATCAAAAATTAACAGGCACATGAGCCTAACGTATGAATCCGTTGAAAAAATGTTAACCAATCACAAAACCAAAGGTAAACACCAACAAAAACAATCAACATGAATACAAAAGAAAATGAAGACAATAAAACCTACGAAGACAGCTAACCATAAACATGTCCATTGGAATGAACTGAAACAATATAAGTGCAATAAATGAAAAGCTCAATGCTACATAAAGTAGACGCTGAATATTTTCTCAAGGATGACAATAAAAGCTCAACAAATAAACAATCCAAC